TCTCCTAACATCTCCTTAATTTCCTCCACTACATGGCCCAGGTATGACTCATTCTTCTCCTTCTCTTTTAGCATCTTCACAACTGCAGCACAATCAGGTTGCACCTGAAGTGGTGCCGTGGAATTCGTCAATGCTGCCCGGACTCCCTCTCTAATTGCCAGAAGTTCAGCTTCAAACGCATCTTTGAAGTGAGGCACAAACCAACAAGCAGAAAGAACATGTCTTCCGCTGCTATCTCGAGTAATCATTGATGTGCCTGCGCCACTATCGCATGTTCCAAAAGAACCATCAGTAGATACTGCCAGCCAACCTTCAGGCGGGTGAGGCCATATATACCTTTGTTTCCTTCGGAATCTTCCGCTGTGATCTGCAGCTTATGGCGCTTTCTTCAAAAGTAATCCCTTTTCCTTTCTCTAAATCCTTTCCATCGGTCATCTTTATTTGTTCCAGGGACAGAACATAGCTTTGCAAAAAATTCCTAGTTGCGTCCACAGTAGCAGGTACTTTGTCATGCAACATATCGTTTCTCACTTGCCAGTACCTCCAAATTATCATCAGTACCCTTGTACGTTCCTCATCAGTAAGTGTGACCAGCAAGTCGAATAACCATTCCACCCCAGAATTAACAATTGTCTCCTTCACTGGCATAGACCGTACTTCTCCCATGGCGTCCTCGATTGTACGTCCACACCTCTGGCATTGATCATAGAGCTCCAAATGCCTTTGTTTTTTAACTTGCCTTGTAGGCAAGCCATCACGAAGTAGTTTCCATGCACATATTTTAACTTCCTGTGGCACATTGATTTTCCAAAACATACGCCAAACTGGTCGGTCTCCATCAGGTCTTGTGCTCGTAGCAGATCCACCCTGTCCTTGTAAATGTTCCGCAACAGCTAGATGGTACGCACTTCGAACACTAAAGCGACCATCCTTTTCTGGATGCCATGCCGGAAAGTCTTCTATCACCCTTGTGGACACTTTTATCTTCAAAATTTCATTAACATCAGCCTGTATAAAGTGGTCATTTAGCCTCTCCTCGTTCCAGGTTCCATCTGGCAGTAAGAATTGTTCCACCCTAGTGAACCTGCATGTCCCTTTGTCTGTCAGAGGTCTTCGTGATCCCCCTCGCGGAAACCATGGATCTCGCCGTACCTTTACATTTTTCCCATTGCCAATTCTCCAAATCATACCCTTCTTCAGCAAGTTCAGACCATGTTCTATTCCTTGCCACGCCGGAGATGCATTACCCGAGAAAACTGTATCAAGTAAGTTCCCTCGTCTGTAATATTTTGCCTTCATCAATCTCGCACATAGACTATCCGGTCTGTCCACTAGCCGCCATGCTTTCCGTGCTAACAGAGCCTGGTTGAGCATTCTCATATCACGAAAGCCAAGACCACCTTGATTCTTTGGGCGTATCATTTTCTCCCATGCAATCCAGTGAGTCTTGTGCCTTCCATTCTCCACACCCCACCAATAACTCCTAATCATACATGTAAGGTCATCACAAGCAGCAGCCGGCAATTTAAACACACTCATAATATAAGATGAAATTGCCTGCACGACAGACTATTTCAAAGTTTCTTTTGCTCCTGAAGAAGATTGCTTCTCCCCCCAATCAACAAGTTTTTTGCTCAATATCGCCTCCAAGGACTGAAATTTCCCCTTGCTCATGTGCCCTTCCGGCACTGGCAGTCCCAAATACCGATCCTCAAAGAGCTCATTGATCACCCCCAAAGTATTTTTAACTAAAGTACGGAGATCCAGTGGGCAAGCCTCCCCAAACATAATGCTGCACTTCATCTGGTTTACAAGCTGGCCAGTGCCTCTTGCATACCGAGAAATAATGCTATTCACTATCCCTGCCTGCTCCCCTGTTGCCTTCAAATAAAGCAATGTGTCATCAGCAAACAAAAGGTGTGAGACCGCAGGCGCCGTCCTACATATCACCACGGAGCTCAAGTTTTGATTTTGCACTGCATCCTGAATCAAACTCGACAGCGAGTCAGCCACAAACAAGAACAAAAACGGCGATAGTGGGTCACCTTGCCTTAACCCTCTCGTCGGCGAGAACTAATCCAGAAGTTTCCCATTAAAATTTACCGCAAACCGTATAGTTGTAACACATTGCATCACCCATCGTATCCATTTATCAGGGAATCCTATCCTCCTCATAGCTCCCTCCAAAAAGCACTAGTCGACGCAGTCATAAGCTTTGGATAAATCCAATTTATATGCACAGCTCGCCATAAATCCGGGTTTCGATCCTGCTGGATGTGATGCATACTCTCAAACGCCACTGTTGCATTATCTGAAATCAAGCGTCCAGGGACGAATGCGGTTTGATTTTCAGAAATTACCTCGTTGAGAATCATCCTCAACCTATTCACCATGCATTTAGAAACAATCTTATAAATCACATTGCATAGTGAAATAGGCCGGAAATCTTTTAAAGTCTCCGGCTGGCTGCATTTTGGAATCAAAACTATACTGGTTTCATTAACACCATCCGGCATTCTTCCTTCCTCAAAAAAAAAATATTCACCGCCGCCACAATCTCCTGCTTCACTGTCCCCCAATTTCGTTGGAAGAAACGGGCGGGCATTGTGACTGTCCATAACTGAAAAACAGAGGTACACCTGATCGGTCAGCTATTTCTTTTCCACATTAGCACGGGTACGAGAAAAAACTTATGCCCTTGTCTTAAAGCTTGAGTATGTCATCAAATCCCAAGTAAACAGCTATCTATTAAGTGTATAGCCACCTCTGAAGTAATCAATCCGCTATTGTTCCACTTATTGATCGAGAAAAAACTTATGTCTAACTCATTGACTTAGGTCTTGGGTTTTGTTAGGTCACCACACATCAGAGAATGCCCGCAACTTATTCAATCCATTTTCCCATGGGGATTTAAGGCATGAAGTTCCATAATATGGAAGAGGCGGGTCTTTTATTTTTCATGTATCTAGCTCACGTAGTTGGGTCTTTTCTTTTTCTCAAGAAATTCAGGGCCCTTTTCCAGCTAGCTAGCATGTACTAATCCATCCATCCTTCGTCCAGCTTAATCCATCCATCGTTCATCCAGCTTACTACATGTAGTTTCGCACACATATATACATTGGTATCACTATATGTAAAGGAGCAATGTCAGACTATTTAAAATATGGTTCCCCTTATTTCCCAGGTAGTTGGGCTGGCTAAGTTGCATGGGTTCTGAAAAGCCCAGGCAACGAAACGACATGTGTTTCTAAGGCCTGAGTACAAATACAAAAAAAAGACGAGTTGAAGGACCGGAGTACCGAACTCATGACCCGAAAGACATGACTAAGTGCGCACCACATACGGAATTCTAGACAAACTTTTTTACCTTTCTAGATTTAGTACCACCTTTCGTAGAAAGTCTTTTTTTTTGTGAGAAAACTTCTGATCTATTCATCTTCAATCATGGCAATACAACGAACACCATAAATAATAAAAATTACCTCCAGATTAGTAGACGACCTAGCGACGACTACAAGCACTGAGGCGAGTCGTAGGCGAGCCGCTGTCATCGCCCCTCCCTCGTCGGAGACGGACAAAACTTGTTGTAGTAGACAATCGAGAAGTTGCCGTGCTAAGGCCCCATAGGACCAGCGCATCGGAACAGCAAACACCACTGATGAAGTGTAGCGTAGATCAGAAGGATCCAACCTGAAAACAGACGAACGACAACCAAATCCGAGCAGATCCATCAAACATTGATCTGCTAGATACACACCTCCACACGCCCATCAGTGATGCTAGATGCACCACCGGGACGGGGGCTAGACGGGGAGGACCTTATTCCATCTTCAGAGAACCGCCGCCATCTCGCTTCCTGAGCAGGACACAAACCTAAGAAAGCTCAAAGATCCGTCTAAAAATGGAGCCCTCCAGTCGGCAAGGGTCGGGATCCACCGCACCCCCATGGCCCTAAGGCCAAAGGAGACGAGGCGAACTGACGGCAACGCAGTGGGAGACAGAGAAACCAATTATTTTTTATGGTGAACATATGAAAAATTGGAGAAAATATGTCTCGAATTTGGATTATTTATCATGCCATTGAGCTAGAGTTGTTATTTCTTTTCACATGAATATCCTTTTGAGCCACTCTTTGATTGGAAAGTATCTCAGAACTTTCATTTGCGTAGCTCTCTTTCTTTCCTCTTTAGTTAGCTTGGTTTCGTGCATTTTATCTTTCCACCTAGAAGCCTTGCATTTATAGCAAAAAACATCATTTTAATTCTGTCTCTTACCAGAATAACTGCCGGTTATTTGGGTAGGCTTGGATTTTTTTATATCCTAATCCAAACTTTGATATGAAAAAAATTGGAGCTCGGCCTTCATGGACGCCGGACTTTTTGAAAAATTCAAAATTCATATTTTTTCGGTTTCACAAAAATTATGAAAAAATTGTGGTCTTCTGAATACGCCTTTGCATAAGTTTCCCTTCTCTTCTTATTTATACACGCAGTCTAATTTCTATGTAACCATGTTTTTTACATGTGTGCACCCATGTTGGAGTCAATATGCACGTGTCAATGATGGATTTGTTGTATGCACTTCATATTCTATGTAATCTCCCATGTTAGGTTCAATATGCACGTGTCAATAATGGATTGTTTGTACGCGTTTTATATTTTACATAATGAATTGGCCTTGGCATAAACTTCCTTTTCTCTTATTTATACATGTAGTCTAATTTTCTATGTAACCATCTATTTTACATGTGTGCATCCATGTTGGCCTCACCTGGCGTATATCGAGATTGAAATGTTTTACACAATTTGACACAAATTAGTAGTGAATATTAAAATAGACCTTTTTCATTAAGTTAAAAGGGTAAATCATTCTCTTTCCCCATCATGTGACGTTCCCAAATCTTAAAGCGCTTAGCTCTTCTTGTTTCATCGTTTCCTTGAATCACCGGTCCAGAGGACATATTAGCAGCACCGCGGCGCACTCACCGACAAGCCACATCACCGAGGTTGTGCCTTTGGTGACTATTGCAATTATTGTATTTTCAAAGTGCACAAAAAACTCGGCAAAACCAGTTGAAACTTGGCAAAACGTGTGCTGAATTTAGCTCTCGGCTTAGGGTACTTGGCCCACACCCTCCGGGCAAAGGACAGGTTCCCAAGTTCTAGTTGTCGGGTGCTCGACAAACACTTTTTCTACCGCCTAGAAGGCCAGATCCCCACGCTTTGTGCCGTTGGATTGGCACTACGCAGGCCGTTCAACCCTGTGCGTTAGAGCTGCAAACCACTTCCACCTACCGAGTAGCACATGCTCGCCGTTAGAGCTGCAAACCGGTACCTCGCGCGTGCCTCCTACCCCCGCCATAGACACCATCCAACCCTCTCGTGTCTCCACTTGAAGAGTCATCTTGTGCATCCCCTCTGACAACGCCCCCCATGCTATGCCGTCACATGCTCAGAGAACATTTCGTCGTCGATTGAAGCATCGGCTGGTGCCGCTCAAAGCTTGCCGCGCCCCACGTCTGAGCTCCTCAGGTCATCGCAAACGATCTGCTGCCGTCATAGCACCTGTGTGCAAAAACCGTCGTGGGCATCGTCACCTCGCCCGTGCCAATACGTCATGTCGTGGGTCGGAAGGGAGAGGCAGAAGGAGGCGTTGGTATGTGTTGCCGTTTTCTTCCCATGTGGTCGCTCGCCCTAGCAGCAAGCATCGGTGGTACGTTTACAGTAGCAGTGCCGCACCCCTGTGCCTCACGGCTCACGCTGGTGAAGGAAGAGAAGGTGAGTCATGGTGGAGATCGAGGAATGGAGCGCTTGCAATGACAGGGAGCAGCGCGTAGTGAAAGACGTAGAATAAAGAAGCGGTGGCTTATGGATGATAACGAGGGGTGGAGAAGAGAACAATGCAGGAAAGAAACAAGGTTAGAGGAGCGCATGATCTCATGGAATCCGACGTCGCTCATGCTACCGTTCGCGCCAACGAGATCGGTCTCCCCACTGGAATCTCTGGCTACCATCTTATATTCTGCCCCTGCGTACAACCAACGAGTGGCTCGCTTTAATTTATTCCATTTCATCACTAACTATACTACTCCCTTCGTACCCAAAAACGCTCTTACATTATGAGACCGAGGGAGTAGTTATTTAGTTAAAGCTCATATATAGGCACGTTCTTTCCTCTATAATTAAAATAGCGCATAGGAATGGATCGGATAGGTGGCCTCGAGCATTACCCCGCACACCCCACCTTTGGCCTCGGCACCGCGCCGGAGCCGCATATAGCCGGCTTCGCCCCACGCCGTGGACCAGGTATTTTTGAGGAGCCAATAGTCGACTCCCTCCGGCTCGCCGTAAGGGTCGCTGTGTCCGGTAGTTCCATACTCAACCAGGGTCATGGCGTGGCCGAGAGTGGTATTGCAGGGCCCGTCGAAGAGGCCACCGCGGTATTGCATAAAGGCCGTGCTGTTGGCGTCGACCCCTACCGTGACGGGGCGCTTGAACACCGCCCACATGAGCGCCGTCTCGTCCCGCGGCTCCACACGCTCCCAGCCCCTGATGCCCACGCCTTTGCGGGCCGGGTAGCACCAGCCCTTAACACCTTTGTACGGATAGTCCGCCCATCGCGAGATGCCATCACCAAGTGAAATGGTTTGGAATGCCTCGGCCGGGGTGCCACCTCCACAGTGCCTGTTGCTGCCGTCGCAGTCTACGAGCTGTTGGGGCGATAGCGAGATCAGGTCCCCGTGCTCGATCTTGTAAAGGCCTTCGATGGCCGATGCGGTTGCAAAAGCCCAGCAGCTTCCACAGTGCGTCCCTTGATCCATCACCGGCGTCACGGCGCCCGCGGAGCGCCAGTCCGCGGACAACGGTGGATCTGGGTATTTTCTCCGCTGGCCCTCTGGGACGACGGCTTGCGCCATCGGAATGTAGCAGCGGATGTTGTGGTCGTTATTGAGGGCGGTGTCAGCGAACTCGTTGAGCTTGAGTTTTCCCGGGCCACGCTGGTGCGCGAGCCGGACACTCTCCGCGAAGACGGCGAAGCGGGTGCTGCCAAGTGCTCCTCCGCTTGGGAGAGCCTTTCCGAAGTGTTGCGCCCACCGCTCGTACAAAGAGAGGAGGGCCTCCTCCGACGTGACCTCCTCCGAGGCGAACGACATGGTGATGGTGCCACCACTCGCCGCGGGCGCGGCGAGGAGAAAAACCATGGTCACCGCGAGCAGGAGTCTCGCCACAGTGGTCGCCATGGTTACTTGGTGTAGAACCACAAACAGGAGCGAACAACTCTGAGCGAAGTTTCTTCTGGCCGCACCTCACTTCCTCTCCTCATCGGCCATGGGGTTCTTATATAAGACTGGGAGGGCTCGGCAGGCAACTTATGCACAACGTTTGTGCTTTGAAAATATCAGACGAAATTTACTCCTCAAAAACAGAAGACTCTTATCTTGTCACACGTTTCTCCTTATAGCTGCTGATGGAAAATTCTAGGTGCGTTTGAGTTTGCCTTGCTCAGTAACTGAGATAGTACAACAGCAACCCTGTGTACATCAAGGTTAATTTTTGTTGTTGACCAAATGTTCACATTTGTGTTGCAAAACTATATGATTTAACGGAAAAGCTAAAATCTGAACGTATGGATTTTACAAATCCGAACGATCCGATCTTCGTCTGATCCCGATCTCACGGTACTAATTTCGGTGGTATTAAATCGCCACTAATTTTCCTCCATTATATCAAAATCTGATCTCGTGGCTCTATTTCGTAGCATTAAATGATGATTGATTACAATCTGACGGCACTGATTTTGCTGCATTAAATCGTAAGAGTGGCTAATTTCCCCCAAAAAAGATATCGCAATCGGATTTCGCGGCTCTACTCCCTCCTTTCTAGTTTATAGGGCTTAATTCAAAAATCTCACCAACCAAGGTAGATGGTGAGTGGTGGAATACTTTTTGTAGTTTACAAAAGCACCCAATTAATGCTCTTGTTTTCCTCAAAACATTATGTTTACCAATGTATTAATTGCAATGCATGCATGCATAAAGTACATGCATTGATCAATTTTCTCTTAATACTTGCATGCAATGACTTAATTCATCTTGAAATCTGAACATGTAATGGGAAACAACCAAATTGAGCCTTATAAAATGTAAAAACTAAAATTTTGAGATAAGCCCTATAAACCGGAAAGGAGGGAGTATTGTCGTAGCATTAAATGGTGATTGATTATAATCTGGCGGCACTGATTTTGCTGCATTCAATCGTAATCGTGGCTAATTTCGCCGAAAAGAGGAGCCAGTAGGAGTCGAACCTTTGACCTTGAAGGATGTGATCTCTTTTTTTTAGAGGGAAGGACGTGACCTTGAAGGATGTGATCTCTTAATATTTCACTAGTAGAATGCCCGTGCGTTGCCACGAGCCAACAAATGAATTTGTAAACAATACTCATTTTACTCACACGAACAAATACATTGCACACAAATATTCAACCACAACACAAACGCAAGTATCTTCCTCTCTGTTCCAACAAACAGCATGCACCCCTCTAGCATCTCTTCCCCGTTGAACTTGTCATCCATCGCCTTCTTTGTCCATACATCAATCATCCTCTCAATCTATTACCCCTTAACTCTGCATGTAGCTTCTATGTCGGTGCTTTTTTGTCTCGCACTACTACATATGAAACATGGAACACCATCAACAAATGATGAGATATAATGCACCTCACCTTATTACAAATAAAAAAAAGGGGCACATTGACATGGAAACATTCTTTCCACCACATGTTCATTCCCAAACTGACTACGAATAATGCTCTATTTGTCTCCGGGGTCTCCTTCCATCTCCACCTAAGATGTGTCTCCATCACTTTACCTCACTAATACTTCTTTTTCTATGGACCTCAAATATACATACAACAATCACACGACAAGGTTGCATCACTGTCATTCCATCTCTTTTTCCACAAGCCCTTCCACTTAAACTCTTTTGATCATTGCTACACCAGTCTGCTCCTATGTCACCCTGCTCCAAATCTGCCTATGTTTCCATCTGGGTCCAAATACACCCATTTTTTCTACGAGTCTTATAAACTACTTTTTGACTAACAAATGTTTAAAGAAAACACAAGTTATATACAAATCAAAAGTAACATCATGACATGCTCTTAAACCAAAATAGAGGAGATATTTTAACTGGAAATTACCTCTTAGTGCAAGTACCTTTTGTGCAAACTCCAAAGCTTCATGCCATATGCTGACCCGAGTTAACTCTACCAGAGTTTGTTGCTGCGGATGGAAGTATTATTGGGGCTTTGCACCCAGAATCTGCAATGTCATAATTCAGTTAGGGTAAGAAGTCAAAATCTCATGAAGGTACTATAAGGGAAAAAACACTTTCAAGACATAGATGTGGCCAAACCGCATTGTGAAAAATGCACAACCAGACCCTACACCGGCTTTAAAATCAAAATAAAAAACTTCACCTGAAAATGTACAGACAATTTTTTTTAATCAAATGAAGATGTACATAAGAATATACTTGTAATCTAGAGTAGTTCACGATGCGCGCGATGCGGCTGCCTACCAAACTCCAAAGCGGGACCAGCTTTTTTAGTGGCCACTGCAGCTGCCCGCCTCAGGCCATTTGATTTTTAGCAGACAGCGCGGCAGCCCTCATGAGTCCATAAAGACGACCCCCCGGGTCAACCAATCGTGCTCATGACAACAATGTTCACATTCAGAACTGCAGAAACACTGGTACTGTGTGGAATGTGACTATTTCTGAACACAGTTCTGCCAGGCCTAGTTTCAATGGAAGGAGCATAATTACCCAAGCACCTTGTTAAAAACTTATTGGCTGCGATTAGCGAAGTGGGATCATGTGTCACCTGCTCGCCTGCTCCTCAACTTCAGTAATTGAATAGATATGTGATACTGATAAAATGACTCTACAACACCATGGATGCTATAACTACTGTCATAGGTAGAATATATTTTCTAAACATAAATCATGAGAAAAGTAACACATAGCCGGTATTTTAGGACATAGATCAGAGAGGCTAATCAATAAAAGTATTCGCCGTTGCTTGATGTAACAAGTTGTGCAAGAAAAGTGGACAAAATATGGCATCACAATATATTATCTTGCAAGGTGTTATGGCGCTGCTAGAAGGAGGGCGCGAGAGGGCCGGCCGGGGGCCTTTTTGCCCACGGCCGGGCAAGAGGGAAGGGATTTCCTTCTTAATTCTTACTTGATTAGATTGATACATCTCCTCTCTTTATATAGAGAGGTTTACTTGACCCCTAAGCAAGCGACCCTTATCTCTAATTAACCCTAAGACTAACGGGCTATACCGCCAGCCCAGGCCCATTAGGCCAGTTACATACTCTAACACAAGGAAGCATTGAATTTGTCATATGAACCTTTCCCAATGTTCAGCACGGTATTAGCAGAGAAGCTACAGCAGAACGATCAGAGCAAATTACCTGCATGAATGAGTCAGTTGGGGAGAAGCCAAATCAGATTTCACCACACAATGGAAGGGGCCAATCTCCTCGCCCCACATGGTGTGGGCTATATACTTATACATGCTGGAGAAATATATGCGGAAGTCAACAGAAGTTAAGTGACTATCATGTACGTTCGACACCCTATGAAATGGACAATAAGTGTAGATAAACAGTAGCTAGAAATCACTTTAAAACATGACCTGATAAGTATAGAGAGTCAAGTAAGACTGCTAAAGAGACAAGTTTAGAGCAACAGAATGGCAGATGTGTTGAGAAACACTAATTAAATTAAACCATCCTAGAGCAGGACCAAATAGATTTGTTCATTATCAATTATATAGAAAACAAAGAGCCAGCCCTAAGTAGAGCCTACTTATCATCAGATGCATGCCACAAGACAACTAATCAGGCCAAGCAAGTGCCCTCCTATTATCATCAAAATTCAAAACAAACAGAACCTACCACCATATAGTTTGAAACCATGCCCTAGGTTCAACCAATGGCACATTCTGATAGTAACAGCCCAAACCATGGTGTAATAACAAGCAATTACCAAGCTAGACCAGAGTTAATCCTGCCTATTCATAGCTCAATAGTACAAGAAATCATAGCACAAACCAGGGCCAGATGACCACCACAGAACAATCCCTCATCGGCGTGATCGCAGTATTATAATCAAAGAGCAGGAATAAAAGGTTTTCGTGAGAATGTAGTATAATTCACATCCACAATATGGAATCCACAAACATATCAAGAATTAATAACTGATTTTTTATCAACACCATTATTTTTCTGCAAACACAAAGATGTTGCATAAGCAGAATTCAACTCGGCACAGCTATTTGGTTGTACCATAAAATCAAGAATTTCTGCAACCTGACAAATTTTCATGTATGATCAAAATCTAGAGGTGCTATAATAAGTCTTCAAAGAAAAATCAAAACCTAAATGACATGTTGAACAAGAAACATATGCTGAGAATAGAGAACTGAATCGACAAGCTAATAGATCAAGGGAAATATAAGGGCGGTGGAGGAACATATTACTTTATGGGGAAAAAGAAAGCATCATGTGGGGGTGTCGATTACCAGGAGTTGTCAGCGAGGGATGCGCCTGAGTCGAGGCAGAGGCAGGATACGCTTCCGGGTGCACGAAAAAGAAAAATAGTCAAGTGCATGCCATCTACTCGTAGCATTGCTGCTACAATAATATAGCCACTAAGGTTTGGATCTCCACCATCTCTGAATCTGATCCATCACCAAATTATCTAAGAAATTCAGTGTTAGAACATGCTGGCTGAAAAACAGATAATATAGAAGACAAAAATAATCAGGTTATTTTGTGACTACAATTGAGATAAATATATGAACATTTCAAATAAAGCTTATTTGTGACTCTAGAAATAAAAGGTTGCAATTATTGCTGGCACTAATTGTTTTAACGCATACTGTCTATACAAATGTTAATGCTTAAGTAGCCTTGGTTGTCATCTCGAATATAAGCACCTGTATGCACCTGAAAATATCAAAATCTAAGCACCTGTATGCCTCCCAATGGATCACAACAAAAAATATAACCTAAATTCTGCAAACAGCATCCTACTAACAAGTCATAATTGACAGATTAAAAAATAATCTCCAAGGAACAACCAAAAGACGAACGCACGCACCCACTATACCTCAGCAAAGGACTCGATTGATCGCCTGGATCGAAAATCGATACCCTATCTGACAGGT